AGAGCACTGCCAGGTTGGCAGGCAGGTGTCTTGCTCAGCTGTGGTTTGGGGGGCACTTTTTTCAGTGCCATTGTAACTTCAAACAGTCACTAAGAGAACAGTTGTATGTTGAGGACTCCCTGTACTTTATCACTTTTTTCCTTTTAGGGGGTCATCAAGTTTTTAACACTTTGCTAGGCAACTGGTGGTACTTGGATATTGCCATATCCTAAAAGTGGTACAATGGGTGAAAAGGTTGAAAAGCCCTAGTTTAGAGGGTGGATAAAAGGAATTCAGCTACTGCCCTTAGAGCAGAATAGAGAATTTATACAATTTATAAAATTGGGGCATATAATTATTTTTAATAAAATTAATGGTATAGAGACTGATAAGAGTCCCCAAATGCTATTAGAACAAATTTCATTTAAAACATTCTTGGGCCATATTCAGTGAGGTGGGCACACTGAAAGGCATCAGCTGCTACAAATGTACCTTCCAAGTATTAAATCTTCCAAAGTCTTACAATGAATATACTTGTATTTGTAGAGGTCCAGAAATAGAAGATGTAATACATCTATTATTTTGAATGTCAATTCTTTAAGAAAGAGGGAGATCAATATCTTGGATTGCACTTTAGAGAAACAATCTATTGGGATCCTAATATTTTAAAAAATGTATTTTCTCTGTGCACAGAATTCAAAACTTATATATATAATAAAGCTTTTTTCACAAGGAAATTATGGTCTGATTGTGGTAAATTCTGGAGTTATAAAGAAATACTATTTTCATTCTTTATCCTTATTCTATTGTACTTATTTTTCTAAATTCTGCTTTTACATGCAGTCTTGTTAATGTTCTGTGTTTTATATTCTGTACTTTGATATGTCCTAATGACTAATCAACAGGAAATATTCTAATATGTGCATAAGAAAAAATATTGGATTTATTAAAAGCTAAAAATTAGGACCCCAATTATATTTGGTAGGACCCTAAATATAACACAGAATTCTTCATTGTTTTTTCAGGTCAGTGATAACATTGTTTCAGAGGCTCTGAGTGATAAAAGTCAATTCCCTTTTTTCCATCCAATGCTCCCCAAAGAAGGGATCACGTATCCAGCAATTGTCCAAATTCTCCTTCACTTTGGATGGAGCCTGATTGGTCTTTTTGCTCCAGACACAGAGAAGGGAGAGAATTTCATGAGGACTTTTACTCCTATGCTTGTCAAGAATAGAATTTGTGTTGTTATAACACAACGATTCTCAACAACTGAACGTACTGCATTCCTCAGGGAAGCCCTCTCTAAGTGGAGACAAGTCAACGTCTTTGTTCACTTCATAGAATTTGATTCCCTTTTGGATAGAATTTTTCCCTTCCATTCAGCACTTGAAGGTTTGCCTGGACCCATTGAAGGGAAAGTCTGGATCATGACAGTGGCTGCAGTATATTTAATGAAAAGGGATTGGCGTCTCAAGCACGTCCATAGTATTTGGAGCTTTCCCTTTCAGTCTTGGAAAAACGATAATGCCTTCAAAAGATATTTTTTTGTGGAAAGTGAATTTCAAGCTGAGTATTTTAACTGTTCTGTTTCAAAACACACCTTTTCTGTCAAAGGCCGGAGAAGATGCACCCAGAAAGCACCAGTGGAGACCCAAGAGAAAAAGAAAAAGATGCAGATCCGAAATAATAACTATACCTATAGTGTCATTAAGATTCTGGCCCATGCCTTAAGTGCTGCATCCAAACCCCAGAGGAGAAGGAAGAAGGGTGAAGAGAGGTTGGGGGCTCCAAGGCTGCAGCCGTGGAAGGTAGGGGGTCCCAACAAGGATCCATCAGACTAAATTCATTTTCAGGGTCATTTGTGCTTTTGGTGGTTTAAGATCTTAAGTTCTGTATAAAATGTAATTATCGGAAGAGTGCTGCATCCTCCCTTCAACAACCAAGACCTTTTATATATTAAAAAAAAAGTTCCTAGACTTTTTCTGATTTGAAGCTCCTGTAAACTGGGACAAGAAACAATGGTTGGAAACTGATCATAGGGAGAAGCAACCTGGAATTAAGGAGAAATCTCCTAATAGTGAGGACAATTAACCAGTGGAACAGCTTGCCTCCAGAAATCATGGTTGCTCCATCACTGGAGATTTTTACGAAGAGACTAGACAGTCACTTGCTGAGATGGTATAGGTTATCCTGCTTGAGCAGGGGGCTGGAGTAGAAGACCTCCAAGGTCCCTTACAGTAATATTCTATTCTGTTCTGTTCTGTTCTGTTCTTTTCCGTTCCATTCCGTTCCGTTCCATTCCATTCCATTCCATTCTATTCTATTCCAACATGTCTCTTCTGCTTGATGTCTTTCCTCAAGGCTTAAAGCAGCTCCTTTGATTTTTTCCTCTCCTTCTTTGTCTTTGACTAAAGCTGGTGAAAATTTTGTGCAGTGTCTCCTCCAAGTGTGTGTGCCTGCAAGAGGATCTAGTATCATTCCATTGGAGTATTAAGGTCATTATTGACAAATTAATAATATGGTTATTATCATAATATTAATTTATTACTCCTACTTTATTATAATCAGTAACCATTCTACACATAGATTAATGTGAGAAAAACTACAAATGAAATATTAATACAGATTATAGCTGCTATTCATTACATTCATACAATCTTGAATCAAGTGCTGGAAGCTAACAATTACTTATTTTCCTATTGAAATTTAATCATGCACCTCTCTCTAACACAGAATCATACTTTTATTTTCTGGAAGCTGTAATGCCCTGCCTCAGCTGAATCTCTCAAGAAAGCAGAACTCTTGAAACTGGCTTCATTTCAAGAGGAACTTTTATTGAGAGCCAGTGACAGCAAAACAAGCAAGGCAGAATCTGAAGGTCCCAGGTGAAAGTGTTAGACTAAACCCCATTGTTCAAAACCCCTCCCAACTGCCCAGTCCATAGGAGGCAATCCAGAGGTGCAAAGAGGTTGTGAGATTTCCAGATGGAAACTAGGGTAAGATGTTCCCAGGCATCTCTTCCTTGGTGAGGTGAGGCAGATGACCTCGGGCAGCGGAACCGAGTCAACAAAGCAAAACTAAACATATCACAGGAGAGCTCCAAAGGTCCCCCCACTGATCAGGATGGCAGCATCCTGACAGGCATCTATAGCAACAGTTCTGAACCTGTGGGTCGCGACCCCATTTGGGGTCGAACGACCATTTCACGGGGGTCACCAAACAACGCAGTCCGCCATTTTTTTCCCCTTTTCCTTAGCTGTGCTACTCCCTTTTATTCTATTGGCTTTTGAAAGCCAATAGAATAGACTCTCTTGAATAGAGTCTAATTCTATTGGCTTTCAAAAGCCAATAGGAATTGTCCAGGCTGTCTCTGCCCTGCTGAGCCCACCAAAAGTCCCATTCTGCAAACAGTGCTCCAAGTTGTCTGCAGCAAAGGCGAGCTGTCTGGAAGTTTCCACCCCTCCCTGCTGAGCAACTACTAAAAATGTAAGTAAAAGAGGGCCAGGGGTGGCAGGCCGGTGGACACAGGGAGAGTTGCTGGTGCACATGGGGCCCGGCGGGTGCCTTACCTCCCTTGGGCTGGGCTAGCTGGTGGCCCAGCTGGTGGTCACCCTGCGCCGTCACTGCCCCTTGCCAGCTACGCCTCGGACAGCGCAGGGGGCTGCATCATGCATGCGCGGAGCTCCCGGGCAGGGAAAGTCCTCGACTTACAACCGGTTGAGTAGTCCTCGACTTACGACCGGTTGGGGGTTGCGGCATTTAAAAGGTTGAGAATGACTGATCTATAGGGACCTGAGAGAAGCTGGGAATTTTTAAAGGTGACCAAAAAAACTTTCTCCAAGTGTTATTATAATTTTTGCATCACAAAATCATAATTTATCTACTTCTTTTTTAAAAGAAAATATAGAAGAAACGATGACCAAGATCTAACTGTTTTTTGTAACTCCCCAATTTTATCAGTAATATTAATATTTATTTGAGTAAAATTTTTGAGACAGTTGTATCCACTTAATTATCTCATACCATCCAGCACTCAATGAACTAGATCCCCATTCATCACATCATGAAGCATTTTGTTAATTCTTTGCTAAAAACAAGTTATACCACCGGTGTTGTGTCCTGAGCCTGCAGAAGCAGGCTCGGGACATTGCAATGGTCCCAGGATTGCTGCAAGCTGCCCAGGACAAGACAGCGTGGTGCCAGCCTCCCGCATATGCGCGAGGTGTGAAATCGCGCCTATCAGCTGTTTCAGTTTTGCCCGGGGATCCGGGCGTATTTCAGAGGCCTGCGAGCCTCTTAGTGTCTGTTGGTGATTACAGAGTGAATAAAGAGCTGGATGAGTCTCCAGCCCTCTGATTCTTCCAAGGACTTCACACTGGCGACGAGCTTCAGAAGAGCTTCAAACAAGTAATCATTAATTACTTACAAAAAGTCCTGAAGAAGGGGGAAGTCGGCGTTGGGAGCAGCATCTCAGGCCGACCAGTACAGCATCACTGGAGGGTGAGCTCGGCTAAATAACCCTTTTCCCCCCCCATGTTAGGAAGAGTAGAGAGGAAATGGCGAAAATTGGGTGCATTTCCGAGTTTGACATTGCTCATCCAGAAAAATGGGACTCCTATGCTGCCAGGGTGGAAAATCATTTTAGAGTAAACCAGATAAGGGAAGTTGGATTAAAGGCTGCAACGTTGTTGTGTGTCTGTGGTCAGGAGGCATTTGAAATAGCTGAGAACGTAGTGGCCCCTGCACCTCTAGAGTCAGTTAAGAAATTGTTAAAGGAACATTTCCAGCCCAAATTGTCTGTGATTGCATGGAGACACACATTTGAGCAAAGAGACCAGAGGGCAGGTGAACCTGCTAAAGATTATATTGCAGCTTTAAGGAGAGCAGCCAAGCCTTGTGAGTTCAAGGATCTGGAAGAGAGGCTGCGAAATCACTTTGTTTGTGGTTTAAGAAACAGAGATTTGCAGCAGAAACCTTTTACCAGAGAAGATGTATCCTTCCAAGATGCCCTAAGAGAGGTGATGGCTGAAGAAGCAGCTGGAGGAGCTGTAAAGTCTCTACGGCCTACCAGGAACGTTCCTGAGACGGCAACTGTCCATCAGGAAGACATCAAAGATGAGTCAGACACAGATCCTGAAGATGAGGTGAATACACTTTACCTGCCATTGGGGAAGAAGCAGAAGCAGCGTCTGGACAAGGCCACTACAGCCATCAAATGCTTCGGATGCGGTGGGAGCCACAAGAGAGCTGAGTGCAGGTTCCGGCCCACCGTATGCAGAGGGTGTGGAAAGCGAGGCCACATTGCAGCCGTATGTTTGAGTCAACAGAAGGTACAACCTCAGGAAGAATTGCGTCTGAAAGGTACCAGGGTCCCCAGCCAAAACAGGGTGGGTTTCTGACATCGCGCAGGAGTATTTTGAGCACAGGAACACATAAACCCTTAAAGAAAAAACTGTCTTTAAAAGTAGGGTTGCAAGGGGTTCCTATAGCTATGGAGTTGGACACAGGGTCCGCTCTCTCTATTATTTCTAACAATACATTTAGGAAGATTTGCAACAGTAGTGGCATTCGAGCCAAACTAAGACCCTCTAACATAATTCTCCCAGACTTTCAAAATTCTGAAGTGTGTGTTAAGGGGGAGGCCACCCTTAATGTGCAGTATAAGGATTTTGAAGGTCCTCTAGATGTGTTGGTAGTGGGGGTGGAACGCATGAGCCTTATTGGACTCAATTGGTTCAAGGCTCTGGGCATCCAAATCACTGGGCTGCACAATTTGCAAACGTCATGCCTGGCAGAAGTCTGCAAGGAGTTTGCAGATGTGTTTAGTTCAGAGCTCGGATCCTTCAAGGGGCTTCCAGTCATGTTAAGGTTAGACCCAAAAATTACCCCCATCAGGGCTAAGCCAAGGAGGATACCTTTTGCCCTCAAGGCTAGGATTGATGCTGAACTGGACAAACTGCTACAGCAAGGTATTTTAGAACCTGTAGATTCCATGGGAAACCCCCATAGTAACGCCTCTAAAGGCTAATGGGGAAATACATATTTGTGCAGATTATAAATGTACACTAAATAAGGCTTTACAACAGCATGCTTGTCCAGTTCCAGTGGTAAGTCACATTCTGGCATCCCTTAAGGGGGGCCGCATCTTTGCAAAGCTTGACCTGGCACAGGCCTACCAACAGTTGCCTGTTGATGAGGCAGCTGCAGAAGCACAAACTATAGTCACTCACAGAGGGGCATTTAAGGTAAAGAGACTGCAATTTGGGGTTAGTGTAGACCCTGGCATATTCCAAAGCGTCATGGAAAGCACACTGTGTGGGATTCCAGGGGTCTGCCCCTACTTTGATGATGTCCTCATTGCTGGGGAGTCACCTCAAATGCTAGCAGAGAGATTAAGAGCTGTCTTGCTTCGTTTCAGAAAAGCAGGCCTTAAACTTGAAAAGGAAAAAATGCAAAATTGGAGTCAATTCCACTGAATTCTTGGGATTTAGAATAGATGCCCAGGGTATCCACCCTGCTGAAGGCAAACTGCGAGCTATACAAGAGGCCCCTAGCCCTAAATCCAAGGGTGAATTGCAAGCCTTCCTGGGTCTCTTAAATTTTTATCATGCCTTCCTACCTCACAAGGCTGCTATGACGGAGCCATTACATAGGCTTTTGGACAAACAGGCTCCGTGGCAGTGGACTAAGATCCATGAAAAGAGTTTCAATGAGGTTAAGGCCTTGCAATACTGTCTTAGCTCATTTCAATGAGCAGCTGCCTGTGTGCATAGCCTGTGATGCATCTCCTTTCGGGGTAGGAGCAGTACTCAGCCATCTGAAGGCTGATGGGACTCAGGTCCCTATAGCTTATTATTCCAGGACCCTGTCTTCTGCTGAGCGCAATTATGCTCAGATTGACAGAGAGGGTCTGGCCATAATGGCCGGCATTAAGAAATTTTATGATTTCTTATATGGCCGCAAATTTACGGTCTTTACGGACCATAAGCCTCTCTTGGGATTGTTTACTATAAACAAACAGACCCCACATATCACTTCTCCTCGTATGCTGAGATGGTCCATTTTTCTGTCAGCGTATGACTTTACTTTAATTCACAAACCAGGTAAGGATATGGGTCATGCTGATGGCCTGAGTAGGTTGCCCCTGCAGCAATTGGAGCCTGCTCCTGCTCCTGCTGTTCATATTCTGTCCATTCAGGAATTATCAGAGTGTCCCCTCAATGCTAGGGATGGGGCTGCAGAAACCGCCACTGATCACACGCTTACACACGTGCTGTCATGGGTGCTCTCAGGGTGGCCTGACAAATGCCCTGACATGGAGTTTGAGAGTTTCTGGAAAAAGAAGCATGAGTTTTCCACTTTCAAGGGTTGCCTGTTATGGGGTAGCAGGGTTGTGATCCCTATCTCATTGAGGCCTAGAATCTTGTGTTCTCTGCATGAGGGACATCCTGGTATAGTAAGGATGAAAGCGCTTGCGCGCAGCCATCTTTGGTGGCCTGGACTCGATAAAGCCATCAAGGCCCAGGTTCATGGGTGCCAAGCATGTCAACAGTCTCGGCCTGAAATGCCTCAGGCCCCAGTGCACAGGTGGGAGGAAACTTTATTTCCTTGGTCCAGGGTGCATATAGATTACGCTGGGTCCTTTCAGGGGCAATTCTTCCTCATTGTTGTTGACAGCCATTCCAAATGGCTAGAGGTTGTTCCTGTTTCCTCCACCACTACCGCCAGGACCATCCAGGTGTTGAGAGGCATTTTTGCATCACACGGCCTTCCAGATGTGCTGGTTTCAGACAATGGTCCCCAATTTACTTCTTCTGAGTTCCAGGCTTTCCTGCAAGCCAACATGATCCGGCACGCGACGTCGGCTCCTTTCCACCCGTCCTCCAACGGAATAGCTGAGAGAATGGTGCGCACTACCAAAGATGCTCTCAAGAGATTGGCTTATGGTAACTGGCATCACAGGTTAGCAGATTTCCTTCTTGCACACCGCACCACACCATGCACTGCCACAGAAAAGAGCCCTGCTGAACTCCGCTGGGGTCGCCGCCTCATAACGAAGCTGGACAGGCTGCATCCTGACCGGGTGGCTTCACAGGTGTCACAACCGCGGGCACCTAGGAGACTCCAAGTGGGTGATCCGGTCTGGGCACATAACTATGGGCCTGGTCATCTCTGGGTGACAGTCTGCAAGACCTCGGCGCCATTGTCGTATGAAGTGACAGTGGGTGACAGCCGTGTCATTTGCAGACACATTGATCAGCTGCGTTGGAGATTGGACTCTCACTCTTCCGCTCCTGGCTCTGTTCTGGGAGGGGGAGGGGGATGATAATATGCAGTATGAAGATTCAAGGGATAGGGGGTTTCCCCACTTACCCACAGGGAGACATACCGGGGGTGTCCACATTACTCACCTTCAACAGATAACACTCCAGACAGGGAGTTTGACAGGGGGTATCCTCATATTTCACAAGGGAACAGTGATCAGGAATTCCAGCAAAGGCCGAGGGTACGTCCCGGCAACTACCTCACAAAGGAGGTCAACAGGGAGAGGGGTGGCCAGAGAGGCAACTCCTGATTCCGGCACCTCAGGCACAGGTGGAAAAGCTCCTGAGCACAGGGGTGGCTCTGATGCCCAGAACTCAGCATCGGCTGGCCCCGGGGCCTAGGGACAGTGCTCCCATGGAAGGTCCATTGTGGACCTGGGAACTACTCCTCCTCCAAGGTATGCTGGCTGGGACATAGAAGGTCCAGCCAGCCAGCTGGGGGGCAGGTCGACCAGGTACGAGGGGCAACAAAGTCCTGGCCTGCTGAGCCTGGTGGGCGAGCAGACGGGCCGGGCAACAGCTCCAATGGCATTTGGAAATGTAGGGCAGCAACATCTGGGCTCACCTAGCCTAGCAGGTGAGCAAGTGAGCCCTGCACCCTCACCAGGTCCGAGAAGGTAGCAAAGGACCAGATACCCACCAAAATACCTGAGGGAATATGTTAACCTGCAGACCAGTTTTGGGAAACTGCTGAGGGCCCACAAGTAATGGGGCAGTCTTGTATTAATTGTTTTTTTTTTTGTTTCCGATACCTTTATTCCCAAAATGATAGGGCGTGTGCCCCACTTAACATAACAGATTACACATTCCATGTATTTGTTGGACAAGGGTGTTCCCCAGGTCTGAGAAGGTCGCAACATGTCCATCACCCACATAAATACCTTAAGGGGCATTGGAACAGGCTGTCAAGTCAAGGGAAATGAATTGCAGTTGTACCCATTGGGTTGGTGCTGTCATGGGAGAGTGAGGTACAATTATTCCCTAATGATAGCACAGTACAATACAAGGGTGTGACCATTAGCAACGTTAGCATGTACAGTCCATGCAGTGGAGTGATGGAATCTGGAACACGTCCTGTCAGAGAGGTCACATATGTGTGCAGAAATGTTTCATCTGGGGGGAAGGGGTGCAGAAGCAGGCTCGGGATGTTGCAATGGTCCCGTGATTGCTGCAAGCTGCCTGGGACCAGACAGCACGGCGACAGCCTCGCACACATACTCGAGGCGCGAAATCACACCTATCAGCTGTTTCAGTTTTGCCCGGGGATCTGGGCATATTTAAGAGGCCTGCGAGCCTCTTAGTGTCTGTTGGTGATTACAGAGTGAATAAAGAGCTGAGTTGTTGCAGGATGAGTCTCCAGCCCTCTGATTCTTCCAAGGACTTAACACCCAGCATCCACAAAATCTGTTCAGGAAGTATAATGATACTTGTACATGAGTTTGGAGGACCAGAGAAAGAGATGCAGGGAAGCATCAGATAAGATGGTTTGGGTGTAGGGATCACCCACAGCTGTACAACAAGCAGAGAAAGGAACTCAGAAAAAGTCCTTTCTAAATTTTTTGACTGTCAAAAGAGATGGTGAAAGATTTGTACTTTCAGACTGAAAGATTTTGTTAATATAGCCTTACAAGTAGAATTACGGTACTTCATCTGGTCATTTTTCCTATCTCCTCTAAACTTTCCTCTAAAGAAATCCTTGCTTTCTGGTAATCACCCTATTGTTTGCAAGGAGTTTATGAATACTCTAGTTATTTGTGTATTTTGTTTACTTCCTTGGTGACCTTTGCTAGATTGTTATATATGGTTGACAATTTTTGTCAATTACATTTTGTCAATATACGTTTTATCAGTATACTACATGATTTAGAAATATTGCTGAATTTTTGTACAGTTTTTCTCCCAACTCACAATATTTGCAAGTTAAACAACCATTGAAGAAAGATTCAAATGTAAAAAGTGATAAGAAACCAAGATTTCTGCTTTTAAATTCCTGGATGTTTCCATTC